CGACCATACTACACTTAGGAAGATTGAGATCCAGTCCAATCATTCCCTCAGCAACCCGCAAGACGGGGGTTCAGGTGGCGTGCTCTTCGATAGTGCCGACCGTGCCGATACCAAGGTCATCTGCGACACCAGCTGCGACAACACTGTCGCGAGGTAGCCTGGCACCCAACATCCCCGTGATCTGATCAGGCGCTAACGTGCGCAGAACCCCAGACAACGGACTGTCTTGTTTGATGTCCCTGGAGACCGCGAAGCGGGCGCCCCTGACGCCCCAGAAGGTAACCTGGGCCCGAACACGTTTGCACAACAACCTGCTGGCCTGCAGGGCCCGAGGATCAATCTCCAGCGCCTCCAGGGTACAGACACTCACCTGGTGAAACAGCAAAGGGACCGCACTCTTAAAGTCGAGCAGTAGAAAGCCAGCACGCACATGTTGCTGCTGGGCAACCAACTGAAGCATATTTCCCTCAAGCTTGATGCAAATGTCGTTCCTGTGCCCACTGGGGATACTTCCGCGCTGACGACAATCGCGAAACCAACAGGAACATTAGTAACGTAGGGCATGATGGAGTGGAGGGCCTAGGAGATGACCTTGTCGCCGCTGTTGGCTAGCCAACCATCTGGGAATCCTCGGGGCACCCGCCCTTCGCCGAGCAGGCAACCACTGCCTCGTTGAAGTAGTAATCCCTCATAGCACCACGCAAGAGAGCCCGATGAACACGCTGCGCAGAGGCTGCGCAGTCGGCGTGGACAAAAGCACCGAATTGGCGAATGGGATCCCGTCGGGGCCAAGACCAAGACCCACGTCCTTATATTTCTCGACAACCTCCTGAAACTCCTCGGGCTCGGCGATCAAGTTCACAAATTGCGGCAATTGCGGGATGAAAGGGCGCAGGTGGTCGAGCTCGCGCGCGCGCGATCTTCGCCGCCTGCCACCCCCCCGTGAACCAGACCAGAATATTCAAACAGGTATTGGCATCTCCACTGCGTCCGACATACGGCTCCCCACCCCCGGCCGCAATGTGCGGAGCGAGGCGTTGCCGTTGCGGGCTCTTGCGGAACTCTGGCTCGCCGCCTGCTTCAATATCACGCGTTCGAGGCCTCGTAGACGCACGACTGAGGTCAGCGACATGCGCGGGAAAGGCGTGCACATCCGTCCACATGCAGTTTTGGCAGAAGACCGAATCCCTGAACTTGGGGTGGGCAATGCGAGCTCGACGACCTGTGCCAGCTCTGCTGGCACCAGAAAGCCGCATGGCTGCGAGCGACCACGAAACATACTCTGTCACTATGGCAGCTCGTTGTTCCTTTCGGTTTTCGCTGGCCTCCGCAGTAGCATGACTCCTATCTCGCAAATGCCTTCTATGGGATCCTAGTCGAAGGGCCCATGCTCTTCCCTGAACTCTTCAAAGACGGAAGGGTAGTCAGGACGATCGGTGAGCCAGGAGGGGATCCTCATAGGGCTCAGGGGAGAACCATCGGGGCCACGAAGACGGAGAGGTCGAAGGACAACACAGACAGGATAATATCCGATGGATAGCTACAAGTGACAGGGAATGATTCCCACTTCCCGGTGCCACGGCCGACGTGGTGTGTAGGTTTGGCATCGCCCCCCTGGCCCCCCAGGCCTCCTACTTTGTCACCCCTTGCCTGGCTGCGTGGTGTTGCTGGTGTTTTTTTTCCCACGTTCTCCCTCCTCTCTCTCTCTCTCTCGCTTTCTCTCTCTCTCTCTCGTTCGCTCTCTCTCTCTCTCTCGCTCTCTCTCTCTCTCTCTCTCTCTCTCCCCCCTCTCTCTTTCTCTCCTCTTCCCCGCCCTCCTCTCCTCCCCCCTGATTTCCCCCCCTCCCAATCTGCTAGGGGGTCGGGCGCGAGCTTCGCGGGCAGCAGCGCGGGGGGGATGAGGAGCAGGCAGGGGGAAGGACAAACGAGAAAATGAAAACGGAGAAAACGATCAAGACGATGGCTGCATTTGCGGAAGAGTCGTAAAGGGAAACCACTTGGCCAACTCAACATTGTCAAACACAAGGGCGAAGCTCTTGCCGTGGTTGTAGCACATTATTGGCCTGCGGTGCACTGGATGATCGTGATTGCGCCAGGTTCTCTAACACCTTCTTGAGCAACGGCCTCGGGAAGCCACCCACCCACCACCTTTTTGCGGTCACCATGCTGTTCAGCATTTCCTGCCGTCGAGCTGACACCCGCCGAGGTACACGAAGCTGCTGGGGGAGGACGGATCTGGATGTTCGCGACGGCCCCCTTGACCTCCTTAATAAGATCCCTGAAGGACTCTGACACTGAATTCTCGACGATCTGAGCGTGCTCAGCAGCCTGCTCAGCAGCAGTCTCTTTGGTTTTGACTTTCCTGGTCTCGCTGCGTATCTGGTTCTCCAGGCTGGAGATCATCTTCGTCTTAGCGTCGATTCTGGTGATGACCCCCGTCATCCATGCCGGTGCTGCATCTCGATCACGTCGAAACCTCGAACGAGACTCCCTAATGTCGTTCTCCGGGTCATACCTGCCTTCGCCAGTCAAGATGGCGGTCCCGAGAGCGTCGACCACTGATCGACGGCGCACGACTATCTTCGTCTCTTCTCGTACCTTAACCTCTCCATCTTCCCGCGGGCTCATGTGAGGAGTGATCGCCATGACTAGCGTGACTCGCGTCATGGTGCCGCAAACAAAATGCCGCGGCGAGACTTACCTACGTAGGCCTTCAGCCAAAATGAGGAGGAGGGGAGGAGGAGGAGGAGCAGGAGGAGGAGCAGCAGGAGGAGGGGGAAGAAGAAAGGGGGGGAGGATGGAGAAGAGAGGGAGGGAGTGGTGGAGGATGGGGAGGATGAGGAGGACGAGGAGGGAATGCGGCGAAGATCGAAGGGCTTCCCGCGCTGCGTAACAGAAAGAGGATGGGGGAAGATGCGGAACAGGAGAGGAAAGACAAGACGGGGCGGAGGAAGGACGAGTTTTAAGGAAAGAGGGAGGAAAGGAAGCAAGATGAGTGGGGCGCAGGAAAGAAGGAGAGACGGAAAGAGTGAAGAGAAGGAGCCCAGGAAAACTGTGAACGAAGGAGCGGAACAGGATAAGGACCAGCAGCATGACGAGGGCACGGTGGCCTCCACTGAAAGAAGCTGCCGCGCCGCAGACAAACAATGATGAGGATGAGAGGAGGGCGGGGAAGACGAGCAAGTGCTTTGCGGGACCAATAACGGGGCACATGCTGACAGGCAATTTTCTTGTTTGACCTGTCTGTGTGCTGTGATCATCAAGCCTCCTGCAAGGTTCTGACGCGACAAGAATATCTGGTGACGCGCGTTGCAGCTGTATGTGCGTCCAGGCCCGCGCTGCTCTGGTGCACGTTCGGATAGATCAGACCTGCGGCTCCGCATGGAACGCCGCATTGCCAAACAATTCGTTGAGAGCGTCTAGGCGGAGTGCATACGAGCACTTCGCCCACAAAACCTTGAAAGTCTTACTGTGGGCCTGCGCTGACCCCTTAGCCCCCTCCCCATTGCTTTCCACCTTCCGCCTAGCCATCCGTCTTCCCCCCTAGATTCAACCCAAGCAACATCCTCCAGGTCCTTTATGCGTTCAGGGCTTTACCGGAGTGGGCATGGGGCGTGGACACTGTAGAAACACAGTCGTGCTCTGTATGTAGAAATCTGCCGACCCCCGCTTGCCGGGAATGGTAGGGCGTGTGAGAGGTTTGGCTGTTTCCCTCCCCTTTTCCCTCGCCCCCCCCGAAAGTTCAAAGTCTCGCGCTTAGAGGGGGTAGGGGGGTGTGGGGGGCCCCCCGGGCTCCCAAACGCACCCTGGGGCCTCCAGAACCACCAAATCAAATGTACACCCGTGGCCTCCAAGACGCCCAAGATGCCATCACAGCTGGCTCAAGCTGGGCTCCAACACGCCGAGGAGGAGCTGAGAAGCAACCAAGATGGCCTCAAGACTACCCAAGTGGCCTCCAAGATGCCCCAAAAGGGCTTCAAGAGGACCTCCAAGAAAATCCCCAAGAAACGCATGTCGCCCCAAACCCCTCAAGGAAGCGTACGTGTTCCGCATGTTCGCCTCTTCGGTCTCAATAACGTCCAAGACTGCTCAAGAGGCCCTCAGGACCGCTCCAAAACTGCCAACGACAACCCTCAAGATGACTTCAAGACGGCCCAAGAGGGCCCCAATACGGCCCAAGAGTCGCCCAAGGATGCCCACGCGGGTCCCAACAGGGCCCCCAGAGGGGCAACTCAAATTTGTATTTCGAGCTCTCCTCCCCAAATGTACCCCCAAGACCGCCAGCAGGCGCCCAAGAAGGCCCCAAGCGGCCTTCGAGAGGACCAACAGAGGCCCCCAAATGGTCCCCAAGAGGCCCCGAAGATGACCCCAGGACCCGCAAAGTGCCCTCTCAGCAATCACAACCGCCCCAAAAGGGCTTACGCGTGGACTTCGTTTATCCCCTGGAGGGTGGCGGAATGGCGTAAGCCTCTTGATCACATGAAAACCAAGGAATGCCCCCCCCCAAACCGAAACATGAATACACGTTTCAATTGAATGGGAATTGCATGATCCGGTTCCACCTGCCATTGCGAGTGTCGAGTGTGCTCAACTTGTCACGTTTCGTCGTGTACGCGTGCAGGTCCCCCCGTCTGAGTTGTTAGTTCCGAGTGCTCGGGCACAACGCGCCACAGCGCAAACCACGGCTTCAGCACACCGCATGGATGATCTTGCTCATGAAGGTGATGAGGGTGAACAAGGCATACATATATGCTCATATGCACGGATGGGTATAGGTAAGTGTACATCTGCACACGGATGCCACACCCTCGCCCGACCGTGCCATCTGAAGCTCCGTACATTGGGACACACCGCTGTCGGACGTGAACTTCCATGTTTCTCTGCAAACGTTTGCGTGTTTAGAACTGGCAAGGTGTACTTCGCATGTTTCCCAACATCCTGTGCATGATGCCACCACGAGTAGCAGGTACAGCTTGCATTGAAGAGCACGGCTGAAATACCTACGGATCGATATTGGCTGCTATTCGTCTGTCAAGCTCAGCTTCAGCCTCCGCCACTTTGTTCGCCAAGTAAGCGTCATCACTCATAACACGCAACGGCTCCACTGACACCATGTATGCCCCCAACGCCTCCTCTGGTGTCATAACGTGTGCTGCATTATCGACGCTACGAGTCGCACGAATGTCAATAATCCCTCTCTTGCCAATGTTGTCGTCCAAAAAGAGTGCATGGTATTGAGGAGGACGGGCCGTATCAACGAAATGAAGCTTACCACCAGTCTTCCAACTACACGACGCCCAGTGCGGGTAGCACTCCCGCGTGCCAACTGTGCGTCCCGCCGATGCTGCTTCGTCGAAGAACTGCTGGATCGCAGCTGTCCCACGAAGGATTTCACCTCTGTTGGGCCCCATTGCCTCATACCATTCCAGAGCTGCCTGTGCACTCGTTGTGCCCCAGCCCTGCGAATTGGTCCCTGGAGCAAGCTCGGAGGTGCCCAGAACCAGAGCGATCTGCTCTACCTGCGTGCCTTCGTCCGTCCAGGTGAAGCCGCCTCGCCACAGATACCCAAAACTGTCCTTCTGACAGAGGTCGAGCCTGCGGCCAGGAAGCTCGAAGCCTGGGTGCAACGGATGCTGACCGTCGCAAAAACGGTTCCAATCCCTTGCCACCGCCGGCAGATCCGACCCGAAAGTTCGAAACGCGACGCTGAACTCGCGCCCACCCTCGTGCAATTCCCGAATCAAACGTAAGAAACCCGGCACCAAAAATCCAACGGTTCCATCTGGCAATGCCATCTTGTCAACCAGCTGCTCTGCCAACGATGCGAGACCCGCACCAGGCTCCCCAGGCAACACAAACGATCTTTGCCTCTGGATGTCCTTCACCGTGTCCTTGTACGACACCTTGCCAGGCTCGCCGTCACGGCTCTCTGAGCTAATAGGTATCTCAAGGAACGAAACACAACATAAGCGTAAACTTTCGAAGGTCCGCGCTGACTTCTTGGATGGGCGCTTGGTGAGGCTGCGGGTTGTATGTAAACAGACAGCCACCCCAGGCAGAGTCGCAGCTGGCCTCCACAGGCCCCCCCGAGCAGTCCCAGTCGGCCTCAACAGGCCCCGGGAGTAGCCCAGGGCGGTCTCAACACCCCAACGCCACCTCGGGCGGCGCTCCCAAGGCGTTCCGCGCCCAAAGGTTGCGGTGTTGAGACCGCCCCAGACTACTCGGGGGGCCTGTTGAAGCCAACCCAGACTACTTGGGGGCCTGCTGAGACCAGGCAGGACTACCTGAGGGGGCTGTCTGTGCACAAACCGAAACCTTATCATGGGCGCTGGAGCCCTCTGGCGGCGCCGAGGCGTCCAGCGCCGATCCAAGACATCAGCGCGGACCTCCGAAAATGTCTGTTCATGCTATTTTTGGTTCCTCGAGTATCACACCGTCCCACGTCCAAGTGCCATCGGCTGGATCCACCCTACCTTGGCAAGCCTTGGAGAGCGCAATAGCAACGCTGTCCTCCATTGTGAAGCCCTGTACGGCGTCTGACATCACAATGGTTTCGTTGACGTCAAACGACAAGCGAAGCGGTCGCCGAGCAGCACCCAAGCAGCGGCCATGCTCTGTGCAAGCCGCATCCGTGGCACGAGGGGCAGGCATCTCTTTGACAGAAGCCAAGAGGGTCCTGAAAAGCAGCGGGCCCGGTCCCCCCTTCTGCGCCACCCCCCCTGAACCAGCTCTTCGGCCCGAGCAGTTTTTGTTCGTCCTGGGGCCAGGGCAGGGCCGCAGGAGGCGGTTGAGGACTGTTCGAAGCCCACCTCGCTCCACCAGGACTCCGTCCAGGACCCCCAGGGCCAGCTTTTCGCCCTGAGCTGACTTTTGCGGTCCGCGCCAGGGCCCCGTGGGGGCACCCGGAGGCCGGACACTGCTAATCACTCTCCACGACGCGAGGGGGCCCGGCCTCGCGAGCCCTGCATCGAATCGACGAGTCGGATCGGTGATCGAAGCGAATCGGATCGGCAGGAATCCACAGCAAAGTCGGGAAATCGAGTCGGCAGAAGTCGGCAGACCATTCAGGCCTTCGCTGAGACACCAGAGCCCAGATCGGAATCCGAGGCCGAAGCGAACCGATTCGGGATCGGAATCGATCGAAAGCGAATCGAACCAGGCCAGAGGAGCCGAGACGAGCCCTGCTCGTGGAGCCCGGCCGCCAACGCAGTCCGCAGCGCTCCGCCCGGCCCCGCGGGGCAGGCAGGAGCGGGCCCCGCCCCGGAGCCCCAGGGCCAGCTCTTCGCCCCGAGCCATCTCTTGACGGCCCCACGGCCCAGAGCTGAGAAGAGTCGACATCGACCTGGGGAGTCAGATCGGATCGGAGGGTGCATCGGACTGGAACGTGCATCGGATCGGCTGCATCGGCACGGAGGCGAAATCGAATCCGAGCGGCTGCGCCAGGATTCACAACAGTGCCATGCAAGCATCGGGCCGCATCGGACCGCTGGAGGGTCGAAACTGGATCGGATCGAGGCGGTCGACGTCGATATCGAATCGAATCGATCGGAATGGACCCTGCAGTGAGGGCACCGAGAGGTCAGGGAAGGCTAAGTCTAGACGGAGACCGAACACTCCGTATGGACCACATCTGTGTGGACTTAGCGAGGGCGCGCCGCTGGATGCCCCAAAAGGGAGGGGGGCCAAGGACTCCCCCCTCCCCCTCTTCCCCGGTCCGTCGTGCCGCGGCCCACCCCCCCACCCTTCCCTTTCCCGATCCGTCGTCCCGCCCCCCCCTGCCCCCCCCCCTTCCCCTTTCAAAAAAGGGGAAAGGGGAGAGGGTGGGACTCATCGGACCTTCCCCCCCCTTGGCCACGCCGTCCCCTAGCTCCGGAACCCAAACCCCTCAACCTTCCGCCCTAACAATAACCTGACACCCTAACCCTAACAGCCACCCTAACCATGACAAACGCCCGAAGCCTAACACCCAAACCTAACACCCAAACCTAACACCCTAACACCCCAATCCTGACACCTAACCCGAACTACAGCCCTAAGCCTAACACCCGAGACCTAAAACTTTACCCCTACCTAGCTCTAACACCCTACTCCGCACCCTATCGCCCTAACGCGAACTCTACCACCCTAAGCGTAACACCCTGAGCCGATCACCAATGCCCTAACACCCCAATCCCAACCTAACACCCTAACCCTAACACCCTGGCCCTAACACCCTCCCCCCCCAACGCCTGACACCGTAACCATGACACCCTAAGCCAAACACCCTAAGCCTGACACCCTAGCGCTAACACCCTAACCCTTACACCCTAAGCATAACACCCTAAAGCCTGGACCCGATACCCTAAGCTCTAAACCCTAAGCCCTAAACTGTAGATCTAAGCCCTAAGCCCTAAGACCGAAGCCCTGAGCCGTGAGCCATAAGCCCTAAGTCCCAACACCCGCATCCCACGGTTTAAGCCAAAAACCCTAAGCCCCATGATCTAAGGCTTAAGCCCGGAGCCCTAAGCTCTAAGCCCTAGTCTCGGCTGGGCGCGCGTACTCCCAAGTCCGCAATGCTTCCCAGGAGCCCACGAAAGAGGCGGCGGTTGCGCAGTTCGCAGCCACCCAAGGAGCTGCGATGTCTCGGTTGGGTGTTCGTATTCCCCTACTCCGCCGTGGCTCCCAGGAACCCACGAAAATGGCGACTGTTGCGCAAGTCGAACCCCCAGGGAGCTGCGAGGTCCCTGTTGGGTGCGCGTACTCACCTCCGCCGTGACTCCGAGGAGCCAACACAACTGGCGAGGGTGGCACAGTTCGCAGCCCCCAGGGAGCTGCGAGGTCTGCGATGGGTACGCACGGTTGCGCGTACTCCGAAGTGCCTCCCAGGAGCCCACGAAAGTGGCGACGGTTGTGCAGTTCGCAGCCCCCAAGGGAGCTGCGAGGTCCCGGCTAGGTGTACGTACTCCTCCCCTCCGCCGTGCCTCCCATGAGCCTACGAAAGCGGCGACGGATGCGCAGTTCTCAACCACCCAGGGAGCTGTGAGGTCTCGGCTTGGCTTGGGTACTCTGCTACTCCCCTGGACCTCCCAGGAGCCCACACAAGAGGCGGCGGTTGCGCAGTTCGCAGCCCCCATGGAGCTGCGAGGCGCGTACTCCCCTACTCCGCAGTGCCTCCCAGGAACCCACGAAAGAGGCGATCTTTGCGCAGTTCGAAGCCCCCAAGGGAGCTGCGAGGTCCCTGCTGGGTGCGCGTACTCCCCTACTCCGCCGTACCTCCCAGGAGCCCACGAAAGTGGCGACAGTTTTCACGTCGCAGTCTCCCAGGGAGCTGCGAATTCTCGTCTGGGTGCTTGTACTCCTCTACTCCGCTGAACCTCCCAGCAGCCTACGAAAGTTGCGAGAGTTGCATTGTCCGCAGCCAACTAGGGAGCGGAGCAGGAGGCAGGAGAGGGAGGGAGGAGAAAGAGTGAATACCACAGTGCTCGAATCGAAACGAGAACCCAAGACAGGAGGGTTGGGAACAGATACTATGCGGTGCATGCTGGCTGCTGCTGCCATCGCCTTCCCAAGCCTTCAACCATCACGATCCTGTGAAACGAATATGCTATTCTGCGCATCCCCGATGTAAACCCAGCTCCCCAGGGATATCCCCGATATCCGAGATTCGCAGTTCGCAGCCGCCCAGGGATGGCGAGGCCGAATCTAGGTTCGCGTAAAGCGTAACTCCGCTGGACTCCCCAGCAGACATCGAACGTGGCGACAGGTTCGCAGTTTGCAGCCCCCCAAGGATGGCGAGGTTTAGTGTAGGGCTGCGTAAGACGACACTCCGCTGGACCCCCCTCCAGCCCTTGAAGGTGGCCATCGTTTCGCAGCTCGAGCCCCCCCGGGATAACGAGGCTTAGTTCAGGTCGGCGTAAGACGTCACTCCGCTGGGCCCCCCAGCAGCCCTCGAAAGTTTCGTCAATTTTGATGTTCGCAGCCACCCACGGATGGCGAGGCCAAGTTAATGGAGGCTGCATAAGGCGTCACTCCAGCAGCCCTGAAAAGTGTCGACAGGCAATTCGCTGCCCCCCCCAAGCATGGCGAAGTCTACTCTAGGTTTGCGTAAGGCGTCACTCCGCCGGCCCCCCAGCAGCCCTCGAAAGTGGCGACAGTCTCGCAGCTCGCACCCCCCCAGGGATGGTGAGATTTAATTCAGGTCTGCGAACGGCGTCACCTCGCTGGACCCCCCAGCAGCCCTCGAAAGTGTCGACTGTTTCGGCGTTCGCAGCCCCCATAGGGATGGCGAGATCTAATATGAGTCTGCGCAAGGCGTCACTCCGCTGGAACCCCCACCAGCCCTCCAAAGCGGCGACAGGTTTGCAGTTCGCAGCCCCCCTAGGGATGGCGAGGCTTAGTTTAGGTCTGCAGAAGGCGTCACTCCGACGGACCCCCCACCAGCCCTTGAAGGTGGTCATCGTTTCGCAATTCGCCCCCCCCAAGGGATGGAGATGTTTAGATTAGGTCTGCGTAAAACGTCACTCCGCTGGACCCCTCCGCAGCCCTTGAAAGTTGCGACTATTTTGCTGTTCGCAGTCCCCCATGGATGGCGATGTCGAGTGTAGATCTGTGTACGGCGTCTCTCCCCTGGACCCCCCAGCAGTCTTTGGAAGTGGCGACTGGTTCGCAGGTTGCAGGCCCCTCGGGATGGCGAGGTCTACGTTTGGTTTGCGCAAGGCGTCGCTCCGCGGACTCCCCAGGAGCCCTCGAACACGGCGACAGTTTCGCAGTTCGCAGCCTCCCGGCGAGCCCCTGGGCAGGGCGGCAAGGTAGAAGG